AATTTAATTGTATGTTATTATAATTTACCCACAAACAACAGCAAATTGGCCACTGATGAGAATGTTGCCAATATTTGTAAATTACGTATACTGAAAATTAAAAATAATGGTAACAATATAAAACACATGTGCAGACGTACATCTAAAACCACGGAGTATTCATCGATAATTTGCTTTATACTCTCCGCTATGAAAACCACATAAACGCAGCACGTGCCAAAATGATAGAAAGCCAAAAAACCATCAACGAACGGTCTAATTATAAATATAAAATATAATTATTTACTTAAAAATTTCACAAAATATAAATTCAAAATTTATCACTATTCGGTTGAAGAAGAATTTTGCGTACCCCTAAAGCACCTAAAGCAAATGTATAAACATTGCAAAGGTTGTTCACTGAATCAACACTTTACAATATCGCAAAGTAGTAGAGTAAGCGCAGGACAGCATTCCAGAGACAGAGCTTCTCATCGAACATTTGTTCAGGCAAAATACTGAAAGTCAGCCATCTCTCGGTCTTCCGAGCCGACTTTGTCACACACTTTTGCTAGGATTTCGGCGACAATAGCCGAATTTGAATGGACAGAGCGTTCAGCATCATTAGGACGCCATACGACTGTGTTTCAAATTAACAAACCATTAATATATTTATTCTTTTGACAGACAAGACCATGCCGTCGCATCTTTTAAGCCAATGCTGATTGCGAGCGATATCTTTTCTAATCACACGACGACAGTTTAAAATCAACAAACGAAAGTCAAAGAATTCAATTGCTTTGAAAATTGCTAAACTAATGTCACTAAAAGAGCCGCAATTTGTAAGCTAATTATCACAATGTTATGAAATATTGACACTTATCGTTTTAAGGATGGATACTATCCAGAAAATATATAAAATATACCTGTCTGTCAGCAATGATGCAATGTATATGGTAGCCGCAAGACTTATTGAGTGATGTGTTATATATGTGCTGCATTTTACGATTACCTGATGTAAATGCTAGTTTGTGTGTTTTAAACTATAGAATGAATCTATGTATCTATGTTTGGTTGGTGGATGGATGGTTGGATGGATGGATGCAATTGAAACTCTTGAAACCACTTGAGACGAAAATGATGATTCGCTTACTTTGCTATGGGTAAAATGCATTTAAATATGGGTGGTCCCTCCTGGAAACCTACAGTCATGGCTTCGGAAAATGAAAGATATGGAACACGTTTACGTTTACATAACTCATACATGCAATCAATCTAAAGATTTTAATAAAAACAAAAACAAAAATGTACAACAAAATATTATCACAAAATTATCAATGCATTCCCTTACCAATATATGCAAACTATGTACTGCTACGATCCCAATTATTACTGTTAATAGGAAACCATTTATGTAACCTGCATTTGCGAAGGCAGCAGGCATGGCTAATACGCCGGTACCGATACTGGCCTTGAGAAAATGGGCAAACGTCTGCCAATTACTTATCGAAAAGATATTTTCATAAAATATTAAAAGTTTTTTTTTTTTTTTTCTTCTTCTTAAATTTCTGTTATACATACTTGGTGGGATGTTTAACTTGGCGATGTTCGTAAGGGTCGTAATCATCTGTTACAACGGATTGAGTCATTTTCTTACTCTTATCATTTTCTGTAGTCGACTGCTTAACGGCAGGCAAACTGCAAGAGATACTAAGAAAAATAATTTTCATCTCTTTATAAAACATATAAGAAACAAGAAATGAGAGATTTAGCTTAAATGGAAGCTTAGATGATCTCTTAGGTATTCAAGAACTATATATAAAAAGAACATTATGGGCATTGCAATATTTTAAATATTTCAAAAATTTGATTTTCCAATCATAGTTGTACAGCAGTACTACTGGTAGTTGAAGGTTTAAAGGGGTCCTTCTCGAAACAAAATTTTGCTTTAAATAACATTAAATTGATTTAAATGTTATTTATAAACAAATGATTGCCTCTTTTCGGTGGAACATTGATTAAGTATAATTCCGAATCATATAAAAATCAATATTTTGAAAAAACCCTCACATATATCTACCCACTTATTGACACGAAGATTAAGTGATATTTTCCCTTCCTTTTTTAATCATGTTTAAAAAAGTTACGCTTTATGCAATAGAGTCGATTAAATTAAAAGTCCCCCATGAGAATGACTTTAGATTTGCTATTTTTTAGTTTTTTTTCGAAATTCGTTTCTTTTTTCAAAGCTCAAATACATGGGTATTGACCTCCAAGAGTATTATTATTATTCGATCGCTTTTTCTTCAATTAGAAGAAAAAAAAGTCAAAAATAAACATTTTCTTAACCCATTAGGACAACACCCCCCCCCGGCGCCCCGCTCGGCCGAACCCCCCCAACACAACAGCATTGTAGAAGGATTCCAGCCTGATTTAAATGATTCTAAAAATAGGTTTATATAACGTTAGAGATAAGTAACAATTTGATAGAAAGTCTATTTTTGTGAATCAGACAATCAGACAGAGATCAATGAAAAATATATAATGTAATATATGCTTGTATGTATTTTGATCAGCGATATCTATTGGTGAGAGCGATAAAGTAGTGCAAAGTATCAAGAAACACAATCGTTAAATTCGATAGTTTTAATATTTCTCATCATAAAATAATAGATTTGCATTTAGTATTAATAAGTTATTCAGCATATACAGACACTAATCCTGCAACACTCAAAGTTGCACTTCCGACATTCATTACATTTGTTGTTTGATTTGAAGAAATCTGCTGCCGAAACCCATCACACACTTTTAGAAGCTTATGATGACGCTGCTCCATCATATCGAAATTGTCGATTTTGGCTTCAATAGTGATGATTGGGGAATTTGATGTCGTTATCGAGCAACGGCCTGGGGTACCAAAAAAGCTCGAAGACAACGAATTCACAGTTCAGACTCTCAAATAACCTTCGAACAGCTTAGCTTAGTTGATGAATCAACTGTCTCTAGACATTTACATGCGATGGGAAAGCTCCACAAAAGAGGGAAAATGGCTTCCATACGAATTAAGTGAAAATGTCATTTCGAACTGTTTCAACATCGCCGTTTTATCGTTTGCCAAGCAAAAGCGAAAAATTTTTGTGCTGCATTATGACTGGCGATCAAAAATGGCTCTATTACGGCAATCTCAAGGGCAAAAATTCATGGGTTAATTCAGGAGAGTTATCCACGTCCACACCAAAGCGAAATATTCATGGCCATAAAGTTTTTCTCTGCATACGAAGGGATCAGAAAGATGTAGTGCATTACGAGCTGCCAAAACCGAATCAAACTGCTACTGCAGATGAACAAATTGAATGTTGTTGGAAAAAAGACTAGCAATAGCGGTTAAGAGACGCAAAGTCATCTGCTTGCATGAGAACGCCCGGTTACACGTGGCAAGAGTTGGCAGCAGACAGTACGGCTGCAGGCTTGCTTTCTATTTCTATTTATTACTCGTTATATTCAAATATGCAGACTGACTTTTCTTTCATCATAGAATTTCTCGATTTCTGAAATTCTGAAAAACTGAGTCAAGAAATATTTATAGACCTTGTTTGCTCCATTAGAGGAGCCAAGAGGTGAACAGATAATGAAACAATTGCTAGACGGACGGAGCAAAGTCCGCGTGGTATGAAATGAATACCACAAAATTTGCTGATGCGTTTATGTGTATATGATCCGGCCTTGTCATGATGAAAAGAATCGTTCGCACAGATTCTGAACGGTTATAAAGTACGATCCTCTTTCCTCAATCAATATATATATATATATATATATATATATATATATATATATATATATGTATGTGTGTGCGATAGTGCATCCAACTTAGCACAAGTGACTTAATTCGTTAATAAGGTCTTATCTTATATGTATAACCTCATTATTTCTATATATCGACCTTTTCGATTTAATGTTAGCCGAACAAAAACATGATCTGAAAATCAAAATTTTCACCTATAATATAAACTGTTGCATTTGATAACTACAAACACCATCAAATATCGTTATATTCGCACAAATATAACCTGTGACACGATTGGCGAGCTACAAGACCATCTGCATGAAAAAATTTTGAAATAAAATGTCACCTTTTAAATGCGCGTTAATATAACGCAGTTGGATTAGTATTGGCCGGTGCTTGAGATCAAACACCAAGTAGTATTAAATATCTCCTTATATTTTTATACTCTATACCACTTGTGGTAAAAGGATTTATTAAGCTTGTGCAGATATATGCAAGGACCAGAAGGAGTTGAAATAGACTTAGAGAAAATGATTCTGAATCAATCTAAGCGTGTCTGTCAATCTACGAGTCGTAATTTTTGAAATATTTTGATGACGTTTGGTACACTGATGTGCCTTAACTCAAGCGTGCCGAACATTATTGAAAATGGTTCGGATCGGACCATTTTTTCCATCACTTCCCATATGTTAGCTTTGTCATCATAATATATAATGTCGAAAAAAAAGACCGTAGAATTTAATATATACTGTACTGTGTAACATAAAGCGTTAGATATCAAACACTAAACGCGAAGTCTACCTTATATTACACATGGCACAAAATAAAAGGCCAAGGAACAGAAAGAGGAAGAGGTATTAATAGCAAACTGCAAATTACTTAATACAAAGTCAACACACCTGACATAAAATACAATATAAAATGCAGAAAATACCCAAAACAAAGCGCAACATGTCAAGGACAAAATACCTGAAAGGATACCAAATACAAAGTGTATATAATGCGAAAACACTAATACTAATGGGAAGACAGTAAAGGAAACATAAAACATACAATTCAAAGTACCAAACTCAAAGCATACAAAATACAAAGTATAAAGTATAGAAGATTGTGGATAATATACCAAATATGATATATGTACACGATATAAAGTGCAAACTACAATGTGTTGAATGTAAGGCATAAGGTATGTTAAATGAAAAGTACAATACACAAGGCATAAAGTACACATAACAAAGTGCAAAATACAAACTTTTAAACAAAACTTAGAAAGTCGAAATATTAAATACAGTAGAAAGAAATTAGAAAAGTTATATCCGACTGGGACGATATCTTATATACCATTGCCTCCACTCATTTTACCATACTAATACCAATTTGATCGCTTTATCAGTATAAAAGTTATAAACAATCAAAAAACAATTATATGATCATTTTTAAATTTTCGGGGGTTTGACCATATTTTCAGTCTTTTTTTTTCATTTGTAGAGTGACAATCTCTCTTCATGGGAAAAGTATACTCAATAATTTTCAACACTCTGTGTTGTTTGCCTTATAAGTAATAGATAGAAAATCTCAAAAAAATGAAAAAAAAAAATTAAGATTGCATCACTGATATAAGGTTGTTTCATAAAGCCAATTTGAAAAATTTCAACCTTCTATCTCTCATAACTTATTAATGACGCGCGGAAACGTACAAATTTTTGCTTAGAGAAACACAGATGCTTTCAGTTTCCGCATGCTTCAGTGTCCTTTGAGTCACTTGATCCATATTCAATAATAAAATGCTTGCATGAACTTCTAATGCGTTTCCAAAATTTGCACAATGCACATCCATACAGAAACACAGATGCACAGACAGGCAGACATGGGTAGATCGAGCCAGAACTTAACATCAAACAAGAATATGTATAGTTTATAGAGTATACCGTCCCCCGACGGCCCCTTTCCTTCATTCGTCGGTATCAAAATGTTGAGATCGTAAAATGTGAAAAAAAACAAGTAAGAATAGTATAGTCGGACAAGGCCGGTCATTAAATAGCCTACACCGCAGTGTCTATAGCAATTCTTATTTTTGTATGAAATCGCTATTAAGGGTCAATTTTCATCACGACATATTAAGACTTGGATTTTTCTGCTCTACAAAGGATCGATTTGCATGAAAATCCTTATTATGGAAGTCTCCAAAATATAAGTCGAGTTGGTCCAAATTTGGTACATTTTATTTATTTTTCGTTTAATTACGGTTATGATATAAATTTCATCGTGAAGCATTGAAAATTATACCTTTTTGTCGTATGAACTTCAGTTTTCGTTGTATTAGGGGATTCAAAAATTGCCCCAGCTGTCCCAACGTTTTCATATCAAATACTGCTACTTAATCATTTTTGCTGAGAAATTTTGAAAATTTATATTTTTTTCCCATATAAGGACTTTTCAGAATAGGGCACTATTTGTGAAAACATTCGAACCATTTTCCATAGCGTTCGTCCTTGGGTCAAAACACGTCACTGTATCAAAAATTTCATCGAAATATCTCAAAAATTGCGACCTGTAGCTTGAACACAAATTTATACGAACAGATCTCAGACGGACAGACAGGCTTCCATGGGGCCATCTTAAGTCCTTCAGCGTGTTACATACGACCGCACTAACTTAATATACCCTGTACTACAAATGGTGTAGGGCATAACAAGGAACAAAAAATTTTCATTGAATGTAAAGTTTAGACTGTAAAAGACGTACAAAGACTACAATAAGAACAAAGCAAATTCAATCGTTACTTTATGGCAATTTTCTATGATTTTGTCTAACTTTTTCGCACCACTTTTAATGCATCCAAGAAAAGTGAGAAATCAAGCAATCATAAAGTTTTATAGCTCCTACGACGAAAGCAAGCAATTGCTTCTTCATCCTTGTGGCCATA